CTCCCCCTCCCCCTCCCTCCTCTCTCTCTCTCTCTCTCTCTCCGCTCCTCCCTGTTACACATGTCATATCGAGCGCGAGCGGTTTCCATACGTTGCACGTGCTCAAGATCGTAGACCTTCCTGACATTCGTGTACGAATTACGTAACGACTTCGTAACCGCGGTTCTCGATAATAAAATGCAGCTTTACGTGCAGTGTTCATGTGTGTGTGTGTGTGTGTGCGTGCCGTCACACGTTGGGGATGTACGCGTGTATGCGCGCGCGCGCGCGCGCGCGCGCACACACACACACACACACACACACACACACCGAGGTACGCAAGTGAAACAGAGAGCTGCGAGTTCGGGTTATGAATAGCACGTGAGTGACCACGAGATTCTCGTCACATGCTCGCGCTTTTCCAAACCGTTGTCACAAGCGCCGACGTCGGCGGTCCGTCCGCATGATTTTGAGTCGGCGGCCCGTCCGCATGATTTTGAGTCGGCGGCAGCATTTTCGGCTCGATCTTACACAACCCGACAACGGAATCTCTCGGAACCCTAGTTATCTATTGCAATTGATGATTCCACCTTGAGACGGAATACATAGTGTGTCAATTTCTCGCGCTTGTTCCCCACGTCCGTGAAGAATTCGCGGTTTTTTAAGCCCTGCCCAATGTATTAGGGAGGAGAATAAATTTTGGAAATAAAAATTTGGAATAAAAGTTAAACGTAACGGCACAATACCAGTAAGTAGTGAGATATGATTATATTTTATACTTATTTGTATTCATCGTGCGTTACGTTTAATTTTTATTCCGAATTTTCATTTCCAAAATTTAATATTTATCCCTGGTTTATCCCAAAATTTAATATTTATCCTAATATCTGCTGCATTGTGCGCTTAAATCCTGAAAATGAAGACTGCTTTTTCTCAGTCTCTCTTGCTAATTAATTTTTTTTCTGTTTATTTTATGCTTCTTCTTAGAAAGATTATATTTTTAAATCGGATGACTATAGGATTATTACGCTGATTAAACAGAAAATTAATTTGTTTTGAGGAAGAAATGAGTTATTATAGTTTTTTTTATAAACAGTGATACATGTATTGCTTACGTCGCCGGAAATGCAAATAGATTATCTCAGAGATTGTTCACAAGTAATCAACTAATAAATTCTTATAATTTCATTCGTATTTTAACATGTCAAGAATGATTTACTACACTTTTATAATTCTTATATTTACAATAAAAAAAATTATAGAAAACTTAGATTGTTTTAAAATAATACAAAATAGTTTATCGGCAGTTTAGAAGCTTTTATATAAATACTTTAAGTATTTAAGATTATTTATGTAAAGTTTCATTGCAATTGGTTGTTCTGAAAATAAAAATTAAATTTTTATTTATGAAACAATTTCTGCAATTGCAATAAATAACTTTACATAAATAATCTTGGATACTTAAAGTATTTGTATAAAAAATTGAGATCTTTGTGATTATTTTTTAATTATTTCTATTAGAGCATACTTCTATCTATTTATTTAAACAATTTCCGACTCATTTTCAACCGCAAAATCTTTTGTATCACTTTTAAATGCGCTCTAGAATAATCTACTAATTTTTTCATTGTAAATAAGAATAGATGTAAAATTTCCGGAAATGTCAATTCCAAATCGGTCTTGCAAAACCTCTTGCAAAATTTACAACGCGTCATTCGTCGCATTTTACGATATCCTACATTGATTGAAAACATTTGTCGCTCGTTAAACAACTGCAAATATAACATCTGGAAATAAACCTTCTCAAATCGATTTTAGAATTTGCCATGAAGTGTACAATTAGGCATCTCTACCTTGACATTCATGAGAGCATTCATTGCCGGTCCAAGAGAGCATTCATTGCCGGTCTGATTAAAATGCACGACGACACAATGTCTAGAAACGTTAATGTTATAGGCTTTTCTCTAAATTAACCTTCTCTAATCTGTAATAAATTTTACGGTAAACTGTTTCACGACGACAACCCGCCTCGACGAGCCAAGAGCGTTCATTCCGCCGATCTCGCGAAATTATCGAAGATGCTGCGTCTACGATTGTTAATAATAGACCTGCACCAAGAGAATAGCGCGTGTCACGTTTGCGTGTTCCGCAGAACGCATTTGGACCTTACACGCTATTTTTACCTACCGATACCGCGCGTCCGCCTGTTACATTTACGGTCTTCGTTCGTCACACGCCGCCGCCGCCGCCGCCGTCTGTTTTGCTCCGGAATAGTTATTTTACGGTCTTTTAAGCGTCAAACTCGCGACGTTATCGGCATCGCTCCCAATG